ACAGACGGCCAGATACCGGACTCTGAAGTACAAGTGGCTGCCGTGAGATCTAAAGTGAAGAATGAGTAGGACCATCTTGAGAGCACGGGATCGATGGATCGGGCCCAGGGCTATGGCCAAAGGCTCTTCGTGTACTAGTCTACATCTACTAGTCCACATCTACGGCCAGGTCCATGACAGGCGTGTCAACTATATCCCCTATAATTAAGACACTTTTGACGGACATGTTAACTGCTCACCTCAGTCAAGTAGGCTGCCCCTATATAGGCAATAAGAGAGCAAGAGAAGTACTACAATGAATCTATCCCAAAGGCATGGACAGGGCGAAGTAATGAACAGACAAATTGAAATATCCCCTAATATCACTATATGCAGGAAGAGAGGAGCAGAAATATGTAGGAAGAGGGCAGCAGGTCCCATTTCGACATGTGAAAACTCAATAAATCTATCCTACGGGCAGGGGTAAATAAAGAGCACCGCATTTCAAATTTCCCACATTCATGAATGCGCCCTAAAGTCTATCCCAAAGGCATGGACAGGGCGAAGTAAAGAGCAGACGAATCAAAATTAAAATATCCCGTGATGTCACTATATGCAGGAAGAGAGGTGCAGAAATATGCAAGAAGAGAGCAGCGGGTCCCATTTCGACCTGTCTCTCTGTCCCTCTGAAGCCAAAAANAGAGCGGCAGTCCACTTGTCACTATATGCAGGAAGAGAGGTGCAGAAATATGCAAGAAGAGAGCAGCGGGTCCCATTTCGACCTGTCTCTCTGTCTCTCTGAAGCCAAAAACACGTCACGACAGAAAGCCGGTAAGAAACAGTAATAGAGCGGCAGTCCACAAGTGGCCACTTCACGCAGGCAAAAACGTTCGTGACTGCTTTTATGCCATCACAGAGCATATTCTGAATCCCCCATCGCGATTCTCTTCTCGCTTCAACAGTACTTAGGCTGCCGGCAGGCAGACAGGTGAAGAGACATGCCAGATGTCCCGCAGATCTGCACCCCAAAATATAATCTGTAAAAAGTGAAATATCAATGAATCTATCCTAGGGGCAGGGGGGGGGTAAATAAAGAGCACCGGATTGAAATTTCCAACATTCATGAATGTGCCCTAAAGCTATGGAGGAATACAGAGCAACCCAAAATGAGAGAACGACCTACCTTGCTATTTCAATCTATCCCATGAGAGAGCAGAAGAAGTCCTATCTCTACCTTCCCGGAATCAATGAGTCTAACCTACGAACTGGGACAAATTCAGAGCACCCGATTCTCTTCTAGCTCCAACTATGGACAGATTCAGAGCAGCCCGAAATATGAAACACCCAGTCATGACGGAACTGGTACTGGCGCTCTTGAAACTGGGGACACGCTCCCACCGTTGCTGCAAACTCTCCCACTGCCCTGCTCCTCTGAGATTTAGCGAGTGCATCAAGCCAAACCCCAGCCAGATACTCTTCATTGTTTCGACCAGGTCTGGTGAGTCACGCTGTTCCATTGGAGTTGTAGACAGCACTCCCAGCGTCATCACAGCACTCCCACTGCTTGTACTGATGCTGCTGCCATCCTCCCGATAGTTATTCGAGCCCCGCGTGACAGTGTAGTTGGTGATTGGTGTAATTGGTGTACTTGGTAAATTGATGAATTCCCTTCGTGCAGGGCTGCCAGGATGCCATAGTCCCCGAGCACAAAGGCACTCTCTCCCCCAATCAAGGAGGAGGGGGGCTATGGCACTTTTCTCCGGGCATCAAGTCATCAACCATAGCCCGAAGACCTAGCAAGGGGATGAGAGTATAGCGTGGTTTCAGCGTAGTGCCTCTCCATACTCGGCCGCCTACTGGAGGCAGCCGCCAGCCGAAGCCGACCGCATAGCGCAGAGTTAGCGCTACGGTGCCGCCAGTCCGCCACCCGGCAGCTGAGGCCACAATTCTCATCCATCAAAATTCAAAATTGGCGCCCGTCCCTTTCTTTTTTGCTCCGACGCAGCTCCGTTGATGCGGGGCGGGGTAAATAATGTGCTTGAATAGGGAGGAGAGGACGAAAATGAGCCCAGGTGGCTCAATGATACACCCATGAACCGTTTATAAATTTGGCACGAGTTCGAATCCTCACGAGATCACATAAGGTAAATAATAATAATAATAATAATAATAATAATAATAACAACAATATTTAAATATAATAATATAATAATAATAACAATATTATAAATATAATAATAGTAATAACAACAATAATAAACCTCTGAACTACCTGTGGGGCCAGTCGGTTACGGTGACGAACTCTGAAGGTCGTGGAAACAAAAAAGAAAAGGGGCAAAAAAAGAAAAGGAAGGTGAACAATATGAATAGATTTTTTATTTCATTTTTGAGAAAGGACGCATGAATCTGGACGTGTTTGTGGAATGGTGCATATAGTCCCGATTCAGCTCCTTTTCTGCATCTCTGGTTGAAACCCATCCAGGTTCAGGCGCTTAATTCATTCCTCTTTGCTAGTGGGACTGTGCATCTCTGCTTGAAACCCGTCCAGATTCAGGCGCTTAATTCAATCCTCTTTGCTAATGGAACTGCGCCCCTGACGGGGTGAGAGAGGGAGGTACTATGCCGAGGGACGACTTCCGAGATAGAACCGATACAGAGCGGAGTCCCCCCTTCTTTCCCAAGAGATACCCTCCGGCATTCTGCATCTGTAGGCGCATACCGGTCAGGCTTTAACGAGTGCACCTGACCGTCCCGCTCCTGCAGATGCAAAATGCTCAGGCGTCTCGAGAGAAACTCTCCCATAAACCAATTACTAGACCATTTCTCGATTTATGCGTGTCATCCTTACTTGCTCAGGGCCCATGCTAATCTTCTTTCTCTGTATCGTTCCAATTTTAACGGATCATGTCCCCAAGGACCCATAAACCAATTAGATTCGCTGAAAGAAAGTCCATTTACAACTTGCTGCTATAAATAGCCAAGTCCTTTCTTCCTTTGCCTAGAAAAATCCGAATGGTCCTGCACATCCGTTAAAGTTGGAACGACACAAAAAAAAAAAAAAAAAAAAAAAAGTTGGAACGATACAGAGAATGAAATTAGCAAATGGCCCCTGCGCAAGAATGACACGCATAAACCGAGAAACGCTCCCAAAAAGAAAAAGAAAAAGAAAAAGAAAAAGAAAAAGAAAAAGAAAAAGAAAAAGAAAAAAATCCGAATGCCCAACGCAACACTATGCACCTTTCGTCCTTCGGGACATCCGTAAAATTGGAATGATACCGAGTTTTTTCTTTTTTCCCCAACAAAACAACATTACTCTTATTATGTAACACAATCTGGCGCCGGGGACCTCACAATTCAACCCGGGTACTGAGTCTACTGACAGCATTACTTAGGTTACCTTACGATCGAAACGCTCATCGCACTTGATATCCTCCTGTTCTCCACCTCCCCTACTTCCCCACCGTCTAACTACCCAACCCTGACACTAGCCTGTTCAACCCGGATACAACGCACGGTCGTTATACCTGTATTTAGACTCAAAGATACCCCAAATACAGGTATAATGACCGTACGTTCTATTCGGGGGAAGAAGGGTGGCCTGTTCAACCCGGATACAGACTCGATTAGCATAGCCCTTGCCCAAGGATGAGACACATAAAACAGAGAAAGAGAAAGGAGACACATAAAACAGATAAAGAGAAAGGAGAAAAGAAAAGAGGGGTGTGTGTATATAAATATCGCAAATATTATATACATATATTCAAATACTACTCATATCTATGTGTTTGTGTTCGTGTGTGAATGCATGGGAAGTGGAGGAGAGATGCTACGACTGAGTTGAAATTTGAAATTTGAAATTAGTAAGTTTATTTAGCCGAATTATGCGGCAGAACAAGAAAAATAGACGGTTTTGTTTTTCTTTGTTTTTCTTCGTTTTTCCCAAAAACTACACGGGTTTTGGATCTGATTGTCAGTGGCATCTGCGCAAAATTGGGAGCTTGCATTGAGTTTTTTCAGACTTCCATAGAGACAAGACTTGAAACACGGATAGTTGCAAAGTGCGCCAACACACCATATGACGAATAGGCCAAAACAAAAAAAAACGTTTTTTAGGACAGTGACAAAAGGGGGGGAAGAGGGGAGGGAGAATGCCATGGAGAAAACCAAAAGTTACGAAAAAGTCCAGATAAACTCTATGCTAGTACCTTTCCCGCGTGGGAAAATAGGGAAAACTGGCTGTTTTCCCAATAGCCTGAATTTTCGGAGGTCGGGCCCGACGACGACTGCCATTGATAAATCTGATCGGCGGCCGTCGTTTCGTTTCGGCCTCCGAAACGGTCGGAGGCCCACCGGAGGCCCGCTATTTTCCAAGCGGCAAAGGTACTAGTGGTTGAACACGCGAACACGAAAGTGTCTTTCCGATATGTGCGACGTGTGTGTGTGTGTGTGTGTTTGGATCTACATGATTGATATTTTCTTATTATCATTACTTTTTTATTCTTTTCTTTTATTCTATTAGTTCTATTATTTCAATATTTATGATTTCTTATGTATTATTTTACTATTTATTGTTATTATTGTTTAACAAGATAGGACCACATAGGGCAGAGAGTTAATCTACGTACCGTTCCAGGACTCATCGACGCTCCTGTGTACAAAGATCGAAAGAGGAAAAACTTATTTCCGGTGCGTGTGTCTGTGTCTGTGTCTCTGTGTGTGTATCTGCATACATGTAACATCTTATTATTTTTATTTATTTATTTATTTATTTATTTATTTATTGATTATTATTATTATTATTTTTACTGTTAACAGGCCCCAGGTTACTGTTAGCTATATCTCTTTACTAATATTAATAATTACTTATTATTATTTTTATTTTTATTTTTTCTTATTCTTATTATTCTTATTATTCTTATTCTTATTATTATTATTATTATTATTATTATTTTGACAATAACAATATAACAATAAAATAGCACATACTAGGTGTAGGACTGCTAGAAAGTGAATTAACGTACCGTTCCAGGATTCATGGAAGCTCCTGTGTACGGAGATCCGAAGCAAATGAGCACGAGTGTGGTAAACAGCGGAATTCCCGACTTAAGGTACGTGCGACCTTCCGGACAAGCTAGGACGGACCACAGGATGGCGATGTTGAGCAGGAATGCCAGTCCCATTTCCACGGACATTCCAAGGTACAAATGAACGTCCGCCTGCAGCTTGGCTCCCACAATCATATGCCGAAAAGCCGTGGGGGCCGTTCGATCCAATGCCATGGCACCGAGCACGGATCCCGCCATTTGCGCCGGAAAACGACAAGCAAGAACAGGCACGGAATGCGTGCGCTCTGATCCCACGCCTGCCGTAAACACCGCTAAATCGACCGCCATATTGAAACTCGCGCCGCCGAGAGCGCCGCATAGCAGCTCGAACCCGATGGAAATCACGAAAATCAGGAGGAGGACGACGGTGAACTCCGAAGCCCCTAAGTAGGGCGACAGAGCGGACGCTGCCACCGCTATTCCTGACCCAACATACACCCATAACACACTCACGAACAGGTCCGCAAGACACAGCTTCACCGTTCCTACAATATCCATCTCTCTCTCTCTCTCTCTCTCTCTCTCTCTCTCTCTCTCTCTCTCTCTCTCTCTCTCTCTCTCTCTCTCTCTCTCTCNTCTCTCTCTCTCTCTCTCTCTCTCTCTCTCTCTCTCTCTCTCTCTCACACACACACACACACACACACACACACACACACACACACACACACACACAACCTGTCTACTCAGTGAACTTCCTAACCAACATATGGAAAGGAGAGAGCGTGTGGCGCGCAGCAGGTAATTAGAGGTAGGCCGAAAAGCGAGCGATTCGCGCGATTCTCCCAGCGCATGAAGAAGAAGAAGAAGAAGAAGAAGAAGACGTACTCAGAGAGACGGGGAAGAGGGAGGAGGATGAACCGTGAAATGCAATTCAACTGCTAGTTATAACAGGAAAGAGGTGGCGTGAGTGATGAGATGCGACGCCAGGTAAAATGGTAGTTCAATTGAAATAGCGGCAGATGGTAGTTCAATTGAAAAAGCAGCGGCTGCGGGCCTCCTTCCACCACTCTCGATTGGACTTTATGTTAATCAACGAATGCCAAGCAAGAGGGCTGGCCCTATGTGAATGAATGCCAATCAAGAGATCGAGTCCATACGTCAAGGAATGCCAAGGCAGAGAGTGAGGCTGACCAATGGAATTCCTCTCACGTGAATCGATGCCCGGGAGGGACGGTAGGCGAGCGGGGACGGGGCGAGGGGGGTGGGGGGGTGGAGGGCGGGCATGAACGAACAGGCCGACGATGGCAGCAGGCAGCGCTCTTTCGCTTGTCGAAGAGTAGCGCAAGCGCTCGCCCCCGCCCCAGCGCGCACGAACCGGCTGCCGCAGCTGCTGCTGCTGCTGCTGCTGCTCCAGTTACAGTTATTCACCGTCCTGCGGAAGAACAGAAGAGCGGGATGAACATATAATTGTACGGCCAAAAGAAAAACAGAGAAAATAAAAATTAAAAAATAACGTGACAATGTTCCTCGCTATGCTACGAACCAAATGGGCGGGGGAGGGACCCCGTAGCGCTTCCGCCGGCGCTATTTTGCGCTCGGACCAAGCGCTGTTCGGCCGGTAACGGAGAACCTAGGGCAACAGTTTCCGCAGTCACCAGGACGGCGGTCTGGAAGGGATGTCATCTAGTTCGCTCTTCGAAGCGGAAACAGGGATGTTGACGAAAGCCAATACCTCTGCTAGCTTTGACGTCTCGTGCCTAGCGGGTTCTTCCCCGACTCCTTCGACACCATTGTCTTGAAGTAGGGCAGGCATCCCTGTGATTAGCTTGGGTATGGGAATCTCTGACTAACCTCCTTCTCGTCCTATACTTCTCACTATATCGGAATTCCTCCTCGTTCCTCCCGTACCTCTCCTAGCTCTCTAGCCTAAGTTGTAGTATCAGCATTCATGAATCCCGAAACAGCCGCAGGGATGGAGAATAGATCACCTCCCCCCGCTCTGGGAGCCTAAGTTGTAGTATCAGCATTCATGAATCCTGAAACAGCCGCAGGGATGGAGAATAGATCACCTCCCCCCGCTCCGGGAGAGCATGAAGTGGACGACACAAGAGTAAGAGAACTTCTTTGTCTTTGCTATGAGGAAGGCATTCTCCCCAGGGACATTGACCCTGGGGAAATGAAGATACAAAGCCGTAACGTCAGATTTAAGGTGAAGGATTCCATAGACAGGCTCAAGGTTCAGTGGCTTAAGACGCAGCCCGCTTCCTCCCAAGGAACATGAAGGAGGACAAGGAGGACCTCATCAGAGCCTACAAAGATGAAAGAGTCCAGTTAGGCGACTTCGGCGAAGGCTTCAGTAGAGGAAGAGTTAAAGTGGAAAGCCTCAACGTTGCATTGTACGTTGCAAAAAGTACGACGATGATCTTCGCGTGGCTGGTGGACAAAAGAAGCGCAGAGGTGGTGTTGGGGGGTGATATTTATAAATTGGAGTTCAAGCCTTGGCTTACTAATGCACAGCTGAGGGAGCAGCGACGACTAGAGGAAATTACGACCTTCTGGGTCATCGCTGTTCAAGTCCCTCTGGATGCCATGTTCTACCTGGAGTCGCATATACGACGAGCCATCGGCCCTGTCACGATGACGCACCCGCCAGAGCGAGACCGTCTTAAACCAGCCTTGGTCAATATCAAGTTTGATCTGGACCCAGAGGCCAGGCCTAATATGAAGGGTTCGATAACAGTGGATACCTTCGAAGGAGACGAACTGGTGGTCAAGCTCGCATCATCAGATACTCCACGCCGCCGCAAATGCCGAGCGTTCTTTCACTTCCCAGAGGAATGTAGAAGGGGAGGTCGTTCACACCAACAGCAGGGCAGTGCTGGAGGACAAGGTGGTAGAGAAGAAGCGGCTCAAGAGGGCGGCCCACTGGGCAGAGGAGGTAACAGCGGCCCACTCGTCGATGGGAGGAGTAGGCAACCACATACCAGATATGAACTTCGCGAGTATCTACCAGAATCCAGGCTTCATGGCGCCACCTCAGGCCACCCAACCTAATGTTTTTCTGGCCCAGCTGTTTCAAGAAATGGCACTCGCTCAATCAGGCGGAGTCTTCCCAGTAGCACAGCCATCCGGAGTCTTCCCGCCGATGGCCCAGCCGAGCTACACATGTGGTTTCCAACCTTATCAAGGCATGCAGAACACGCTTCGCCCTACCTGTCTCTTTCCGAGAGGAGGGCAAGGGAACCCACAGGATGGCTTCAGAGGAGATCCGAGCACCAGTCAGACACCTCCAGGATTCGATCGACCTGGATCGGCCTCACTCGGAGGGAGGATCCCAGGAAGTACCCCCGGGAAGCAAAGAAGGGTGGACAGCGAAAGACAAGAAATGCAAAGGGAGGACTCGGCCTCCTCCACTCCAAGATCAGAGGGTTCGGGAGATCGGGTTACAATGATAGGTACACCTGGTATGAAAACCACAAGAAGTCGCACGCCAACAACCTTGAGCCGAGGACAATTGGAGATCATCGAGAATAGAATTCTGCCGATCATATGTCTCGCGGTGAAAGAGAATATCTCGGTGATTGCGTGGAGCAGTGGAGATGGAGCCTCGGACCTGTTCAGCACAGCTTCCCCAGATCAGCCGATGCCAACCGCGGTGACTAGTATCATTCAGGCGGCTGTGAGGGGAAAGTTTCTGGTCCGACTGATTTCGGACATACCGATGGGTAGATTCATCCTGGACTTAGCGAATGGGAGGAAGTTGAAGTTCTTCGTCCCAATCCTCGACGCTCGCATGGAGACGACACAGCTGGCTAAACTAGAACAAGAGGGGATGAGACTTCTACCGCTCTGCTGGTTCGCAGAAGGAAGAAGACAAGAACTCTGAAGAATTAGAGTTCCTCCATTCCGAACTGGAGACTTTTGGCAGAACTAAATGGCAAGCTGTCGAGAGACACGAAACTCAATTCCAAGTTCATCAGGGACTTTCTTTTAGCGCCATGGGAGCAGCAGTCAACCTCTTCCGCAACAGTCGTCCCTATCCAACATGGAATCGGGAGACAAAGCTTGAATGGGTAGGATCCGTTTGTCCACGTGGAACCTGCGGGGCTTAGTCCATGCTTCAGGTAGGTTTAAGAAAGCCCGGCTGAAGACCTGGATTCATGAAAAGGGCATCCAAGTGGCATGTTTACAGGAAACGAAATTAAGTGAGGACAAAATTAATAAATTAGGGACCTGGTGGGACGGACCCCAAATCTGGTCGCCCGCCCAAAGCACCAGAGGAGGTGTAACCATTTTAGTACACAGAGACGCAAGTTTTGAGATCCTAGATTACTTCGCAAATCTCTGGGGTCGTTGGGTCTGGTAAAAGTTGTGGGCTGATGATAAGGAATGGTTGGTAGTGAATGTTTATGCACTGACAAGTAGGAGGGAACGAGCGAGTTTTTTCGAGTATCTGAACGAACTGATTCCATATTGTCCAAATTTAATTGTAACGGGTGACTGGAAGGTCTCGTTGGATTTGGCGACCTCTAAACCGGGTAGCCAAAACCCAGCGGACATATTGATGCTCCTAAATCTAGCGGATAATCACTCCTTAGTTGATCCGTATCGTCTGTCACATCCGTCAGAGGATGGTCATACGTGGTTTTCTAACCACCAGGAGGGAGTAGGACTCATTTTTCGCAGATTGGATTTCTTTTTAATCTCGGAGAAGCTTTGGGAGCAAGTCGACTCCATCAACGAGCATACTCACCCACTCTCTGACCATAAACCCGTACTCCTCCAGTTGCACACTTCACTTATAGCTAGGGGTAAGGGTTACTTTAGATTCAACACTTCGAATCTTCAGGACCCGGGTCTCGTCGCTTGGATGAAATCCTTCTGGGCAGATTGGGACCAAGCGAAGCAGCGTTTCGCATCGATCGACGAATGGTGGCAAACGGGCTCGACTATGTTCTCTAACCTACTGAATGTGTACTCCAGGATACTAGCTACGAAGAGGAATAAGGAGGAAATTGCGGTTAAAAGGAGAATAGAAGAGGTCGAGCTTAAAATGGCTCGACACCCCATCTCACGGACCGGGTTAGTTTGGGGTAAGGAGAGGGTAAGGCTGTTAGCAGAATGGGACAACCTTCAGCAAAAGAACTCAGAAGTTTGGTCCGAAAGGTTAAGAGTCAAAGGTATAGCAGTATATGACAGGATGAGTAAGGAAGCGTTCCAAAAGCTCACCCCATGGCGGGGGTCACAACCTGTCAACGAACTCTGTCATCCGTTTGACCCACAAGCTCCAAAAGCTAGAGATTTGGTATCTCTGAGCGAGTATGCGGCGCTATATTACAAGAACATCCTCACCTCTAGACTACAAGGCCAGGACGTGGTATCAGACCTCTTTCTTCAGTCCACTCATTGGGACAATACGACTATTAGACTGCCCATCTCTGCTAGACTACTCTTAGATAGACCTGTCAAGAGTGAGGAAGCCAAAGGCACGCTCAAGGCAATGACCCTTGGTAAAGTGTCAGGTGATGACAGACCCCCAGTCGAACTATATCGCTCCACCTGGGACGAAGTAGGTGACAATTTAATGGAATTGTACAACTCGGTCCTTATCGGAGGAAGACTGTCAAAAAGCATGCGTAACGACATTATCTCTGTACTTTATAAGAAGGGAGATAAATCAGAGGTGAGGAACGACCGCCCGATCGCCCTGTTGAATGTCTCCTACAAGCTCCTAGCTAAAACGCTGGCCCGCAGATTAAGTACGATGTTGCCCGAGTTGGTCAAAGAAGACCAAGTTGCCTTTGTCAGGGGACGTTCGATCTTCAACAATATTGTTACCGCCATCCAAGCACTGGAAGTTATATCAGATGAGGGGATGGACATGATGGTCCTCCTAGGCTCCTACTAGATTTGGAAAAGGCATATCGTAACGACAGGGTCAACTGGTCCTATTTCCTCTCCACACTTAAATGGATGAATTTTGGCGATAACTTCTGCAGCTGGATCTCGACATTGTACGTCTTCTCTACTGCAGCAGTAATGGTGAATGGGAAAATCTCCCGCGAGTTTGAACTGTCCCGTTCTCTTAGGAAGGTTTGCCGATTAGCTCCCCTGATCTTTGTTATTTACCTCTTGAACAATATCAGAGCTCACCCTCAAATTCAGGGCCTACACATCGGGAATCGGGAATGCAGAGCACTAGCTGATGACCTACTGGCCATCTCTGGGAATAGCTCCGAGTCCTTAGGCGCTCTTAAATCCTGTCTAGACGAATACTCAGCATTTTCGGAGGCTTCGATTAACTGGCACAAATCAGTGTTTCTGTTGCCAGACCAACATACACCAAGCCTCGGATGGGGCATGAAACAGGTAGAGCTTAACAGTTCGGAGAAATTTTTTGGTGTCCAAATCGCCCTGTGCAACTTCTCAGTGGACCAAGATGACCTACTACTGCAAAAGGTCATCCACAGGCTGGCCACATAGGGGAAGGTTACTCACCTGCCTATCTTTGGTAGGGCTATAGTCCTCAACGCCTCAGAGTCCCTGTTTTCCTTACTATGGTTTGTAGGGGCGGTTCGTAGATTGGGAGAGCAACTGTGTCCAATGCTTATAAGAAAAGCCTCCGGGTTCCTGTGGAAACCCTTCGCAGAAGCAGGCGATTCCTTCATTTCCAAAATTGCTTAGGAATTGATTACCTCCTCTCGACAGGAGGGGGGATTGGGCCTAACAGACCCGGAAAGATGAAACACAGCGATGTTGGTGCGATGGATCATACAGGCGGTCTCTTCAGATAAGGCAGATCACTGGATACTGCTAGGTGAACAAATCTTGATGAAGGAATGAAACCTCTTTCGTCCAAAAGATGTATGGAATGCCATGCTACTGTATTCCTATCAGAGAAAAGTAATAAAGTCGTCGTTTTGGGGCCCGGTTATCAAAGCTTGGAGACGGCTTAGACCCGACACGTGGGAGCAGCCGAGCACAAGACAAGAAGTCCTTAACGAACCAATTTTCGAAAACCCCCACATAACCATTTCCTCCGGTCAATGGCTCAGGGCGGATACTGCTGCAGGGAGCTTCGGACGCAACTGGATGGAGAAAGGAGTAGTGACAATCAGAGACCTTTGTGACACACTTACTAACAACTTGCTTCCATTACAGGACCTCCAATCCAAACTCGCCTCAATCATAAATGTGGAGGAAAAGGCAGCAATACCAGAAACATGGAAGGCTTTGCTGGACCCGACTAACCTTAATCCCCCCGGTACTTGGTTCCACTCGCCGAACAGTCCGTTGGAATTTTGGAAGTTCATAGCTCACACGAAAGACAAAAGAATATTTCAGTGTTGGACTGCTCGAACCACAGTTAGTTGCTCACTACAGTTAGTGGAGGATCGTACCCACCCTGAACTAGGCCCACCATTGAACCAGGTTAGAGTGTTTGAAGAGGAGAGTCAGGATGGTTCGTTAAGGTGCACTGTGTTTGCAGACGGTCAGTCGATTGAAACGATAAGACTAGACCCAACCTTATGGTCATGGAGAGCCAGAGGCCGTAAGGGAGATAATCTCCCCATCCTTTAATACTCTGCTCAGGAAGGGTACAAAGTCCTCAACCCTCTTAGACAACCCTTGGCGGTAGCAGTAGGCAGATGGTCACAGGTACTGCAAAACTCACTAGAGGACATCAGGACAACAATCTCTAAATGTTGGGAACAACTAAGAGTCATTCCCAACCAAAGACAGGCAACACTTCTTTGGCTCCTGTCCTACTTAGCCACCCCCTCAGTAGTCTGGCTTGCACAAAGAAGAGTTTCACTAGATCTAACTTGTAGCCGCTGTCAATGGGCCTTTGAATCTACGCCACACCTGTGGTGGGATTGCCCAGCTTCGCTCAGAATTTGGCAATGGTGGCAGAGGACATGGGAAAGGATTGCAGGCCGAATACTCCCCTAGACCCGGGAATGGGTACTACTAGGGGGTATTCCTGAAGATCTCAACATCGAGATAGGTTGGGGATATGTAGGCCAAACAGCTAGAGCAACCGGCATAGAGATTATCTAGTATGAAAGGAACTGCAGAGTCTTCAAGAAGAAGGAATTATGTAACAAGGAGATCTGTCATAGATTCAGAACCAACCTGCGTAGATCGATTCAAGCTGACTGGAGGAGGAAAGGCAGATGCCCCTCAAGCTCAGGCAGAACTCGGTTCCCGAAGACCTGGTGCCTCATCAACGATATTGCTAGAGTTTCAGAGGAGGGCAAACTGGAGTTGGACTCCTGTTTTTTCCTTGGATTGGTAGATAGAGGATGGGTAGGTTGCGGTAGATAAGCTCCATTACCAGGGCACTCGGTTTTCTTGCCGCAGTGGGCAGGCGGATGTGGTTCAAGTGGACGGGAGAGAGTGTTAATGCAAGTTAGTAGGATCCTGTGCGACCCGATCCACCGTCTCCTAGGTGGTGAGTATATAGTAGGTATAATAAATAGTCTTATCTCCCCTCACCCTGGTGGCATTAGGCAACTGGTTTGTTAACTTTCTTTTAATTCGCACTCCATTTCCTTTATTTTGTTTTGTGTTTACTTTATCTTGGATTGTTTGGCTTTTAGGTCCTGAGGGACGGTTATTTTTTTTACTGGGGTTGTGGATCAGTTAGAGCAAGGGTCTCGTACCGACCAATACGTCTTTGGACGTTTTCCCAACGCCCAAGCCTAACACTGGGTAAAGGCCTCAGACTGTTCGTTGAGGTTACTCCGGGTTGTTTGTGGAGGATTCTCGGCCTCCTCTCTGCTTTTGGTAATAAATGACTGATCCTTTTGGAAAAAAAAAAAAAAAAAAAAAAAAAAGAACCAAATGTGCAAAATGAGAATGAATCTTTGGCGAGAACATGAAAAGACACACCAGGCCGTCCTGTCCAGATTTGGCAGGTAATTGAATTGGTTGGGCCTTTTAAGAAAAAAAAACAAAAAAGACACACCA